ATGCAAATAAAAGAGGCATGTCTGAACCCGAGAATTTGAGCTAAATCTACACTATATACATCATTCCGTAACGGAAATAGGACATCTTTTTTACAAATTTAAGAAGCCCAAAATTCGATATGCAAACCATATGAACATTAACTACTGAAATGAAATAATACCCACCAGATGGATTTTCTTACCGTGCATAGAAGACACATTACGAAAACCTTAAAAAATGGTTATCCTTTAACAGATTAAAAACACAGCAAAAATCATTCCTTAATCAAGTATCCACCTTTTTGCAGCAAAAAGGAAGTAAACAATCTCGCGGCTTCTTAGAATGCATAAGCAGCGAGAAATAATTAAATTAATCACGCAACATATAGCAAAAAAGAAAACCTTCATTTCGAATGCTGGAAAAAAAATGACACGGATCATTCATCTTCAAATCACAACCAAAACCTAATAAAGCAAAATTAAATCAACAATTTCGGCTACCTCTTGAGCTCGAACCGGTGTAAATTGGGGCAAAATTCGAGCTCGGTGGGTTGTGAAAATAGTCGTTGGAACTGACAAGGAGAATGCCGGTTTCCTAGGTCTGGGATTGGCAAGGAGTTGAAATGAGAACCGGGGTCTTACCGTCGCCGCTGCAGTTGCCGCCGTTGCCGTGGCGGCGGTGGTGGTTCTCAATGGCATTACAGAATCCATTATTCAATTAGAGAAAAAAAAAATGGGGAAGTAAATGGGTGTTCTTAAGGGGCAATGCTGAACCACCGAAGAGCTATAGGATATCTTGCAAAATTAGATTTAGATCTTTTGGGGATTTAGCCGTAGCCGCCAACCCCCCGCGACGCATCACGTCCAACGGTCTCACTCAAGCTTTTTTATTACTCTCTCCGTCCTATTTTACTATGTGACATCATTTCCCTTCTTTCCTATTTTATGTGGCATCATTTAAATCGAATGATGTTTAAAAATAAAAAATAAAGGCTTTGAAACTTATAGTATAAAATAATATATATTTATGTGGTTGAAAATTATAAAAAAGAAAAAGATGTCACATAAAATGAGATGGATGAGTTATTATTTTATTGACAGCTAACGAAAAAATACATGATGGGAATGAAGTTTATCACGATAAAGTGAAAGTTCAAGTAGTCAACTGTTTGAAATTTTAGAATTCCTTATAATTTGAGGGAAAAATGATCCTACAATTACTTATGGTATGTTATTAAAGAAATTTTGACATTTGTGTTCCATCTAAGACACCCAACTGGGTGTATTCTTTGGGTGTGTTTGGTACGAAGGAAAATGTTTTCCATGGAAAATGTTTTCCTAGAAAATGTTTTCCTGGAAAACAAGTTGATTTTTGACTTATTTTCTCATGTTTGGTTGGTGATTAGAAAATATTTTTCGGAAAAGATTTTTAGTGTTTGATTTATGAATGAAAAATATTTTTGAGAAATATCTTTTATTTTTACTAGAGTAGAAAATAATTTTTGAAATTGAAAACATTTTTTAAAAACAAACTTAAATATTTTTTTTTGGGGGGTGGGGGCTGGTAGGGGGTGGGTGAG